GTCCATTCAAAACAAGTCTCAGAGGTAGCCACACAGTGAAAAGGAAAGGAGTCTAAAATGGAGAGTGGTTTTAAGATGGCTTTGATACTTTCGGCCAGCCGATGTGGCTCAGTGGTTGAGCATCGTCCCATTCACCAAGAGGTCACCAGTCAGGACACATGCCCAGGTTGTGGCACCATCCCCAGTATGGGGCATGCAGGGGGCAGCCAGTCAGTGTTCTCTCTCATCAATAATTCTGTCTGTCTCTCCCTCTTCTTTCCTCTCTCTCTAAAATCAATAAAGAAAAAAAAATTAAAAACAAGATGGCCCCGATGCTTTGCATCAAGCTCATTAGGTGGGAATAGTGGCCACTGGGTGTATGAGTCAAGTTTAACTGTCTTATTCTTAGTTTTCTTAAGTGAGTCCCACATACTATGTTTGAAATCATTTGTAAATGTTTGATCACTTCCAGTTTTGCTTCAAGGCTAGTTCGTGGCCTAGTGAATGAGCTTAATGAATCAAACTCATGTTTCACAACAAGAACTCACTTTCCTGGGCTCTTGAGAATTAGAGTGCTTCTCAATGTCTCTGAAAGAATTTTCCCTAATGTCTTGTGTATACCTAACTTTCCTTCTAGCACCCATTCACTCCTGCCTCCCTAGGTGACTCACTCCCCAGCCCAGGATAGGTAGGAGAAAAGATAAGAAGATATTACCACTCAGGACAATGTTTACAAACACGATGTTTCTGTGTACCATTTAGATCTTTCTGTTTGTAAACAAAATACTCTGGTTTTTAGACTATTCTCATCTATCATATGAGGTCAGATCCCCTACTTCCTTGGCTATTGCGAATATATTGAATCTTCAGAGTTCAACTTAACCTGGAAAAGATGTTTTACATTTAAATTTCTATTTCTCAAATACAATCTGTTTGAGCAAGTCTTTTTTTGCTTTTCTAATTAATATTGAATACGACCTTCTGTTACCAACACTACACACACACACACACACACACACACACACACACATAATTATCTATATCCCTCTTTTTTAAAACGAGTTGGACATGAAAAAGTTAAGCAACTATATGTCAGGAAATGAGCTGGAATCGAAGTGAGCTAATGCATAAATTTGAAAGCCCAGAGTCGCACAGTTCTGGCTGTGTGCCTTCCAGAGGTCACATGAGAAATGGAAACGTGATCAGTTACAAGATTAATTGTCCACAAGTTAAAACGGCTCAGTGTTGTAGGATGATGGTTCTGCAGGCAACGGGACCCAGCGAGCAGTCGTGGTGCTGGAGGAACATTGACAACTTCCCAGAGGGAGAAGTTTTCTGAATTTCATAAATGAGTGTTGATGTGACAGGTCCACAGATTTCCTTTTAGAAATCACTGAGCTAAAACAAGAGCCCTGAGGTTTCTTCTTGTCCTTTATTTAGTCTGGCTATTGGTTGAGAAGGCGTGACTCTCAAACAGTTCAGCAAGATTCTTAAGCATGGTCTCATTCCCATGGTCCCCTTTGCACTGAAGACTCTTAACTGGAACCCAAAGAGAGAAGCAGACTTGTACAAAGTCAGTTGCGTATGAAAGTTCTTGAGGCTTTGCTCATTTCCCTTTTAGTTTTATGACTGTCAGTGAAGCTAGCTTTACTTTGTGATACATTGGAAAGTTGTTACAGTGTTATTTCTGGGAGCTCCCACCATTAAGACTAGAGTTGCTGATGCAATAACACTGGGCGGGGCAAAAGTAGATTGACAGTTGTTTGTATGGGAAATAATGCAATAATGAATTCATAATACAAGAATAAACTTGGTATTTCACATACTTCCAACTGTAAACCTACTTTTGCCCCACCCTGTGCATCAAATATGGGTTAGACATAGTCAAGTGTCCAACATACAAAGATGCTGCATTCTACAGGTAGATCTGTGTGATTCCTTAAGATTTATTTTCTTCTTTGGGTGTGCTATTGATTTGAACCTAAAAGTTCTCTTCTCAACACCCCCCCCATAGGTTTTCCATTTCAAAAACAAAAAACCTATTATCCTACATGGGCCTGGTTTGGTTTCTGTAATAAATGATGGCATACTGTGTTTAGTGTAATCTAACAAATCCTACCTCCTTTTAAATAAGAAAGATATACAGTGATACCTCGGTTCTCAAACATAATTCGTTCCAGGAGGACGGTCGAGAACCAAATTGTTCGAGAACCGAAGCAATGAAACCCAATAGGAAATAATGGAAACTGGATTAATTCATTCCAAGCCCCAGAAAATGCCTATTTACTGGCCTAATTTGTATATAATATGTAGAAAAACATAAGTCTCAACAAGAAATAAAAGTGTACAGTATGTCTAAGGGTTAAATTCAGTGTAAAGCGTGACTCTCTCCACAAAGCGTGACTCTCTCTCTGCACTCACACTGACAACGCAAGCAAGGCGCGCTGGGCCGAATGAACGCCATTCGGCTCAACTCGGCTCATCTCGGAAGTTCGAGTTCCAAATATTTGTTCGGATTCCAAGACAAATTTTCTCGAATCTCCTGGTCGAATACCGATTTGGTCGAAAGTCAAGGCGTTCGAGAACCGAGGTATCACGTATAGTAAAAATAATACCACTCATTAGAGCTAGTATTCATTGATCAATTGTGATTTTCCAGGCATTGTGCTAAGCATTGTACCTGCTTCGTCTTATTCCATTTTATCAGCCCCCATTGAGATAGGTGCTTTTATTTATCCATGTTATTAATGAAGAAACTGAGGCATACCGAAGTTAACAACTTGCCCAAGGCTAGTAAGGGACCAATAAGAGAACCAGAACTCAACACCTGACTTCAAGCAACATGTACTTTTCTGAACCAGGTTATGTTTTGAACCTATCTCTCATGTCGGAGTGGCGAACAAAACTCTCGGGGAAGGGGCTTACCATTGAAATGAAGGTAAAAATGTTATTGGGGGGGGTCTCAAGCTTAGGAGAATATGAATTTATTGGGATGATTGTGATGTACCTATCTAGAAAAGAGTGCTTTCCCACCCTGCAGTTAAAAAGTAAGTCATGAGCCCTGGCCGATTTGGCTCAGCGGTTAGAGCGTTGGCCCGCAGACCAGAGAGTCCCGGGTTCAGTTGCCGCTAAGGGCACATATCTCAGTTGCAGTTTGTCCCTGGCCCTGGTTGGGGTCGGTGGGTGGCAACCACATGATGTGTCTCTCTCATGTTGGTATTTTTCTCTCTCTTTCTTCCTCTCTTCCTCCCCCTTTCTCTGAAGATAAATGCAAAAATGTCCTCAGGTGAGGATAAAAAAAGTAAGTCATGAAAAAGATAAACTATTTAAATGGCCATGTCTGCACAAGTATTTCCAAATCTTTCAGTTGTTGGATTTGTTCATTCCTGAATAACTTTACACACAGAGGGGATGTGTACACAGTTCAAGTGTAGCAAATGGATTCTGTGTAGAATTTTATCCAGATTATTGCAGAATTTTCTCTCTGTGAAGCCATTTAGATGAAATGGCTTTTAGGGAGGAACAAGTTACTCTGACAGCTTGGTGCTGCATTACTGGGACATAGATAAATTTTTGTTTAAAGTTTTTTTGTTTTTTTATGTATATTTAAGAGTTTATCTCAATAGGTGTTTGAGTAAATAAACTAGCACACCAACCCTGTGATTTTACTGATGTTATTGTTTAGATAAAACTAGATTGATTTTTAAATGGAGGGAGTACATTTAAAGCCAAAACTCTAAAAAGTTCAATATGACAGGAAGCACACAGAGAAGGGGACAATTGCGAAGTTGATGCATGAAGGCCTGACATTAGCAAAAAAACTTGGTAGCATTAGTGCCTTTCCGTCACCAGCCTATGAATTAGCCTTTTCTCCTATACACTGTGGATATGTAACTTGCAGAAATAATACAATGGGAGGATGAAGGTGAGAATAGATTGTTACCTTTCTGTTTCTCCCCTCCTTGTGTGAGGTGATAGAATTCTTTGTGTACATAGCTATAACTTTTTTTAAAATGTATTTTTTTCATTTCCCCCATGAATAGCATTTTTCTTACTTGCAGCCAACAATGTATATCTGGTGTAGAATGTTTCTTTAGCTTTCTTCCCCTTTAACATTTCGTTTTCCAGGTCCTCTGTGGAGCATAAACAAGTCCCAGTGTCTCTTTCTTTCCGTCAATCCTTGTAGTTTGTTCTTCCGTACAGTCCCTGTCACAGGGCTGGGAGGAAGATAACATAGTCTTGCTCTAGTCAGATAAGATGTTTAAAAATAAAAGATACCATGAGCTACAACTAAATGATGCCCAAGGGTCAAAGTAATCTCTCTTTCCAGAATAGCTGCCTTACTCAGCTGAGAATTCTCGAGCAGGTAGTGCTGTAGAAAATGGTACCCACTTACTCATTTTTTTATTCAGATTCAAAATGACATTAAAATTGGAATTAGGCTAGGTTTCCAATATCACATTCGGAGTAATTTCATATGTTTACATTTCCGTCTCCATCTCTTTCTGGGCTTTTCTTTCAGTCTCACGTCAAATCTTATCAGTGATGAATTTAAGAAAGGATATGGATTACTTAATTTGTTTATTTCATTTTTTTGCATTACATCTCAATGATGACTTTGTTTTTATTGGTAACTGCTTTTCATTTTTAAAAATGAGCTTAGCACTCCTCATTACATATTGAAAAATGCAACACATAAAATGAAGCATGAAGGAGATTTAAAATAATGCGTTTTCGCCCTGGCCAGTTTGGCTCAGCGGTTAAAGCGTCAGTCTGCGGTACAGAGAGACCCGGGTTCGGTTCCCGCTAAGGGCACGTACTTCGGTTGCAGTTTGTCCCCGGCCCTGGTTGGTCGTGCGGGTGGCAGCCACTCGATGTGTCCCTTCACATCGATGTTTCTCTCTCTCTCTCCCTTCCTCTCTCTCCCTCCCACTCTATCTGTACAAAAAATGGAAAAATATCCTCGGGTGAGGATAAAAAAAAAAAAAAAAAAATAATGCGTTTTCCCTTCTTCTTTGTAGATGGGAAGGTTGAAGTCACGAAAGAAGGCGTGAAGCTGTGCACCATGGGCCCAGGAAAAGTGTTCGGGGAGCTGGCTATCCTGTACAACTGTACCCGGACAGCGACCGTCAAGAGTAAGACTTTCATTTATCAGATACTTTCAATGTCTTTTATCCCTGGACCTGGGAGGTGTTGATTAACATACCTCTTGATTTCATCTTTGTAATTTTATTCATCTGTATTTTCGTTTTTGCTTTGAAATATAGTCGATATATTTCAAAAAGAGGATTACTTTTGATATATTACTAAAGGAGGATTGTTCATCAGTTTTGCAAAACTTAAGTTTTAGTGCTGACTTATGAAAAGTATCCTTTTAATCCAGAATTTGTATAAATTGGCATTAACAAAATGATATAATTTTATAAGTTAAAATTAAACAGGAGCGACATCTTTTCTTCTTCTACTTTTAAAGCCTCAGAATCATATTTAAATAATTTTTACATATCTACTATTTTGGGTTACACTTCCCGCAGAAATGCCACTTTGCTCAGTGATTTAGAAAAATTAAGAGGAGAGATGTACATCTCATTCAAACATCGAGTGAGATATATCCTGAATTCTAAAACTCTTCTGAGTATATTCTTGTCTTCAGCTGCTCATCAAGCTGAATATTATAGCATTTTTCTTTTCTACTGATTGGGCTTATTTTAAATCAAGGCAATAAAGCAACTTGTTTCCCAAATTCTACGTATATGTGTATATAGGATTTCTCTAGCAACTTTTATGGCTTGGTAGAAGCAGCTGCAATAGTTAGAGAGGAAAAGATGTTTTAAGTACTCCTTCTTCATGACTGCGGGACATAATGAGTGTGTAACCAACAGAGCTGAATACAAATGCCAACCGTGGGAGCCCGTTTTATCTTCAGGCAGACATGTGTGTTTCATGTTCAAAAAGTTCTGACATGTTATCCTGTGGACGGTAGCAATCACAAATTACTTTGATTAGGTTGTGTCACTTTTTAAAAAATTCAGTCGGTAACATGACATTGCTAATATCAATTTGTTTAATCTGGCTGTCACTGACTGTGTGTGTGTGTGTGTGTGTGTGTGTGTGTGTGTGTGTGTGTGTGTGTGTTTCACTTAGAAAGTATGGCAGTGGTTGACAATGTGACATTGAACTTGGGTTGTAAATGACCTAAGAATGATTTTAGAGAGAGAGGAAGGGAGAGGGAGAGAGAGATAGAAACATCGATGAGAGAGAACATCAATTGGCTGCCTCCTGCATGCCCCGCGGCTGGGGATCAGGCCCACAGCCTGGGCATGTGCCCTGACTGGGAATCGAACCAGCGACCTCTTGATGCGTGGGTCGATGCTCAACCACTGAGCCACACCAGCCGCGCGCGACCTATTTTTTATAAGATGAATGCTTCTCTTCATAAAAATCAGCTGTCTTATTAGGTACCTAGAAAATGGCATTAATCTGCACTGGCCTCTGTCGTACTTCTGTTCGGTAAATTTAAATAGACACTGTGCATCTGACGTGGCGAGAAGCTGGGTGTTGAATGCAAGTTATAATCCTAACTTTTGAGGGTCAAAACATCCATTAATAATGGAAAGAAGTGATGAAGTATGTTTTTTTTTTTCCTTTATTGACTTTAGAGAAGAAGGAAGGAGGGGGAGAGATGGAAACACCAATGACAGAGAACATCGAATGGTCGCCTCCTGCATGCCCCCACTAGGGATTGGGCCCACAACCTGGGCATGTGCTGTGACCACCAGGAATTGAACTGGTGACCTCTTGGTGCATGGATCAGTGCTCAACCACTGAGCCACATTGGCCGGGCATGGAGTATGTTTTTTAACACAGACTCAGAGTTGTTTTGTGTGTGTGTGTGTGTGTGTGTGTGTGTGTGTGTGTTCGTGTGTGGTTTCTTCCTAGTGCCTACTTAAGATATGGAGTTTGTATTTGAGAAACAGCCTAAAATTTATGGTGTGTGAATATATTTATGCAAATATAATTTATAGGTGAGAAGATTTTCTACCTGAGCAAGGAATAATCTCTCTTAACAATGATTCCTTCTGAATGTTGTCTAAGAACTATAATGTGTGAACAATGACTACTTGTTGTTCAGGACCTTTTTGTCCTGTCTCCTACACTATCCAGGGAGATTTCCTTATGACTGTAGCTCTTAAAACCCATTTTTACTTGAGGTTTAAATTATACCCCGAGGCTGATCACTTTATAAATCTAATTAGATTCCATTGTGGGTGCTACTTGTACCAAATGACTAACGTCAATGCTATCAAACTCTTTACATGTGATATTTTGAAATGTCCTTATATGGCTTTATAGATCCAGTCATTTCTCATGATTCAAGATTGTGTTGACGCTTATCCATTTCTTCTTAACTGTCACTTTGCCGGTGATGACCATTTGGAGTACCCTTGAAAATGGATTCACCCACTTGAGTGTTATAGTCTGAGGAGGTGGCCATTCTTACCCAGTAGCTTATCAGTCCTGCCTCTTTTTTTTCTCACTTACATAAGCTTGTGATTCCCTTTCCCCCAACACTATCCACTTTCTTTTATGATTGAAAATGTTGATGATTTTCTTCTACTTTCTTTCTCTTTAGGTTAGCCTGAAATTTTAATGCATTTTTAATTTCACAGTCGTAACTAAATTCCAGGTGGCCTTAAAGAGCTCGTCAATGTAAATGAGTCATTTCTTGTTTAAGACAACACTTTTTGAAATTATATCAGACCACAGATAAATTCCAGTGACTTCTTCTAACAAATTTGATCCTAACACCTGTGGGTTTCCTTTAACTTAGGATATAAAAAAATAGTTGTATTTTCTTATTGAGGTATAATTGACATTTAACAGCATATTAGTTTCAGGTGTACAACATGATGATTTGCTCTATGTGTATGTTGCAAAATGATCACCATAATGTGTAGCTAACATCTGTCACCATACATATAGTTTTTTTTCTTGTGATAAGAACTTTTAAGATCTACCATCTTAGCAACTTTCAAATATGCAATACAGTATTATAACTATAGCTGTCAGGCAGTATGTTATTACAGTCCTAGGACTTATTTTATAATCCTGGAAGTTTGTATCTTTTGACCCCCTTCACCAAATTCACCCCCACCCCCACCTGTTGGTAAACACCAACCTCTTCTCTCTATCTATGAACTTGAACACATTTCTTTTTTAAAAAAATTCTACATATAAGTGAGATCATATAGTACATTTCTCTTTCTGTCTGACTTATTTCATTCATCCTAATTCACTCAAGGTCCATCCATGTTGTCAAAAATGACAAGATGTCTTTCCTTTTCTATGGCGAGTAGTAGTTATAATTCTATGGAAAGAAAACATGCATGGCATGATGTAGATGTATGTTCACAGTCTACTGTCTTATAAAACACCACTGATTTTCCCCTGAGGAATTTCGGTACAAAAAATATCAAATTAACATAGTATTGGAAACAAAATCTAACAAATATCCTGAGGTTATTCACAGTTTAAATAGGCTGAAGTTGCTGGCCAGTGTGCTCAGTGGATTGAGCGTCCTCCCATGGACTAAGAGGTCCTGGTTCAATTCCTGGTCAGGGCACATGCGCAGGTTGCAGACTCGATCCCCAGTAGGGGGCCTGCAGGAGGCAGCCGATCCATGTTTCTCTCTCACATCCATGTTTCCATCTCTCTCTCTCTAAAAAGATCAATAAAATAAATAAAAAACATATTTAAATAGGCTCAAGTTTCCTTTATTAACTGTGATGTGAAAATGGCCACTTTGTGTCTGTCCAATCACAAATGTGCCAGATGCCGTAGGGAGGGGAACGTCGTTTGTTTTATTAGGTTTCCACACCACTTGCTGTCTCCAGGGCTGTTAGAATTTCCCGTTGTGTCCACATGTTTTGGTATTCCACAAAGAAGAACTCTGCCGTCCATTTTCAAACCCCACGAGGACAGGAATTCCTAACATGCCCCTTGAGAACCCCTGCTGCTCAACTCCTATGCCTGGAAGCCAGGCGTCATCACATTCCCTAACGTGTCACCCCTGGATGAGATCTCACGCTCACTACCCCCACAGCTGAGTGTCAATTCACACTCACCCCGGGCCTCTTACTGTGTTTCTAGGCCCCAGTTCTTTAAAATCACAACAGTGGCCCGGCCGGTGTGGCTCAGTGGTTGAGCATCAACCCATGCACCAAGAGGTCACCAGTTTGATTCCTGGTGAGGACCCATGCCCGGGCTGTGGGCCCGATCCCCAATGGGGGCATGCAGGAGGCGTTCAATCAATGTTCTCTCTCATCGATGTTTATATCTCTCTCTCCCTTCTATTTCCTCTCTTTCTAAAATCAATAAAGGAAAAATAAATTAAAATCACAACTGTGGAAAAGTTAGTTCCCAGGAACCTAAAACTAGAAAGGAAAAGGCATTTAGCTTACCATGGAAGAGGGGTTCAGTGATGCGTACCCTGTGTGTGAGTTTGACGGGACTTTCATGTTGTCTTGTTTTACCTGGATTTCCCTCAACCAGTTCTGACAACCACACAGGGATTTTCTGTTTTTTTTGAGGTTTGACTCATATGGCTCTTTGCTTCAACTTCATGAATTGGTTGTTTTTGCCCGAAGATACTGAATTGAAGCCTATTCCTGTGCCTTTGAATTTCAACTCACAATGCCCCAACCTCAGGCAGTGTATTTCTAACAGTCTCATTCAAATAGACTTCAATAACAACCCGAGAGTGAAAGGTCCCTCTCTCTGTAGGAAAATGTTGGATACCCGTTTAGGATCATCATAGAGTTAGCTGCGAAGTAGGTCTATGCTGGGTGTGAATCGACGTGGACAGAATACCTGAGTGATTCTTTCTCCTTAGCTTATGTATAGCACAGATTTTAAAACTCCTCAGCATTAAAATACTTCAGTACTAACGTGAAAGAAAGTAAACATTGTACAAGAAATCTGACGAATTGATGACTTCATAACATCTGGTGGAAATGTGTTTCTGCCTTAGTCCCAATACTCTCAGGTTGCCACATTGAGACTTTTCTGGGATGTTTGTAGAGGGGAAAGTTACTAAGATATTTTACTGTGTCACTGACATTTTCAGAACAAAGTT